TTTTTTGGTGGATCTGACTTTTCCCAGTCAACAGCTAAAACAGACAACAGGCCTCGCACATCGTGTCCAAAAACAAGATAATTTGGACATAACCCGGTACTCTCCTGTGCAGCTTCCCGAGCTGCCATCAATAACCAAGGTAACCCAACATCCCAATCCTTCCCCATCTCAGTACAATATGACCTCAGTAAAGGCTTTAACTTTGATGAAACCTCTCCAGTGCTCCCTGACTCTGAGCATGATAAGCACTGGAGAGGTTGTGTTGGATGTGAAGTTGTTTCAACACTTGATCAAACAAATTAGAAGTAGAATTACTCCCCTGGTCAGACTGGATAATTTTTGGTATTCCAAATGCAGAAATAAACTGAGTTAGTGCTTTTACAACTAACTTTGCCGTTACTGAACGTAATGGGTATACAGCTGGATATCTAGTTACCTGGCACATGACTGTGCAAATACTCATTACCTGCTTTTGACCGGGGCAACGGTCCACAATAAGATGCTCAAACGGTTGGCTAATAGCTGGAATAGGATAAAGAGGAGCAGGTTTCAGAGACTGATTTGGCTTTCCCGTAAGTTGACGGGTATGACAAGATTTAATGTACTTCGACACATCACGCGTCAGTTTTGGCCAAAAGAAATGTTTTAGGAGTAACTTATACGTCTTTTTCACCCCCATATGGCCAGATGTATTATGTGCGGTCTGTAACACAAGTTGACGGAGAGACAGTGGTATTACAATCTGTACAACAGGATCACCAATTGCAAACTCTCCATGCGAGACCCACTTTCGAACCAACAACCCTTCCTCCAGGTAATACCCAGAAGAAAGAGTGCTTTTACAACTAACTTTGCCATTACTGAACGTAATGGGTATACAGCTGGATATCTAGTTACCTGGCACATGACTGCAAATACTCATTACCTGCTTTTGACCGGGGCAACGGTCCACAATAAGATGCTCAAACGGTTGGCTAATAGCTGGAATAGGATAAAGAGGAGCAGGTTTCAGAGACTGATTTGGCTTTCCCGTAAGTTGACGGGTATGACAAGATTTAATGTACTTCGACACATCACGCGTCAGTTTTGGCCAAAAGAAATGTTTTAGGAGTAACTTATACGTCTTTTTCACCCCCATATGGCCAGATGTATTATGTGCGGTCTGTAACACAAGTTGACGGAGAGACAGTGATATTATGATCTGTACAACAGGATCACCAATTGCAAACTCTCCATGCGGGACCCACTTTCGAACCAACAACCCTTCCTCCAGGTAATACCCAGAAGAAAGATTGTAAATTGTCATAAGTGACCATTCGACCAAACAACTCAGCGAGTAGAATCAGCTTTTTGTTCCTTTATCAAATCATCTCGTGACACAGACAAAATTTCTAGAGTTTTACTCGCCACTTTTTTTAGAATCAGGCTTAACTCAATCTATGAGTAAAACACCAGGTGATATCACACACACGACGGCAATGCATTTAAAGAGTTTATCACCGTCTGATTTAAAGGCCATCGGAGAGGATGTAACCACCAACTGTGGTAAATCACCTCGCCAAACTCGTTCACCAGCCAAGTCATTTCCTAAGATTACCTGTACTCCTTCCACAGGCAAACCGGAACGTACAGCAACTTCCACTTCCTGGATCAAATCAGATTGCAAAACAGTACAAACTCAACATGCATTTGTTTTTCACTTTTCTTACAATGCCTAAATTTTTGTCTATAGACCTCTGGAACCAGTTCATAGCTTCTCAACACTGCAGCCTTAACCGCCTGATAATCAGCTGCATCCTCTACAATAAGAGAAGAATACGACTCTTGGGCTCTACCTGTAAAAACAGATTGCACCATAAGCGTGCGCTCCTCATCTGGCCAATCTCATGCATCCGCAACACGTTTGATCGTGCATCCGCAAGCAAAATTACACTCCCCTCCACCATTAGCAGCAAGCCTACCATCCTTTATTAAATCCAACCGATAGCGTTCTAATTCAAGCTGTTGTTGCTGTAACTGGACTTTAGACAACTCGATGCGATTTTGCGCTTCCAAAATTGTTTTTGTTGTTCAAACGTTAGGTGAGACATTGTAGACGTCGCATTAACAAAAGCTGAAGCATCTTCCGCAATTTGAAACTAAAACGCCACTGGAAGTCGCTGAAAATGCCGCTGGTTCAGTTAACTCGGTCTTTATTAAGGTTTTAATGTTGTCTTTTAAACGTTTATCTTGGCTTACCAAATTAATTTTATAGTGGCCTGCAAGTTCTACTAGTTGATCTTTAGTCAAATCATTTAACAAATCTTCAGACGGAGCACTAACAAATTCTTCCACCTTTGAGGCCATTGTGAAAGACAAAAAGTATGGCTAGTTTTCCAAAAAAAAAACAAAAAAAAAAAAAAAAAAAAAAAAAAAACACACACACTTGGTGTAGAAATTAGATAAGCAATTCCCTCTAAACTCATGCCTAATCTTCGTAGTTACTTGCAGCGGGTTTTTATACACCGTAAACCAGCGTTTGAAATAGCAACCGATTAAGTCACCATTACAAAAAACGGACATGTTCCCGAGACAACTGCTCTAACTGCTTTCACCGTACAAACAAAAACTAAAATAAAAAAAAAGATCGGAGCATCCCGTTAAGGATACTCCGCTAAACCTAAACAGGGGAAGGCATATCCAACACTAAACCCAGCCTCAAATATATAAATAGTAGCCAATACTTACCAAAGCCAAACTCCCGCTAAGCAACCAAAAAAACAAAAACAACCACATCCTCCAAAAGTTTACCAAAACAAGTGTCTAAATTTAAAGATGAGCCCCCACATTTGTCACGACCGGCTCAAAGCCATAACAAATGAGAGGAAATGTGGTTGGTAAGGTTGCAACTAATTATTTATTAATAAAAGAAAGGAAAAAGAATTGCCATTTCTGTTTGACACAGATGTTACAGAGTCAGACATAGCAGTCTCACAACAAACTCCAAATAAACATTCCAAAAACAACCACAAAGCAATCAGGCACAAACCAGGCCCACTCCACACCAACAAAACCACGACTCTTATAGCAGGAAGAACAGGTGGACATCGTTCTCTTGATGAGTCTCCTAGACACACCCACTGGCTGGCCGTAGCAGGAGACTCATCACACGTCAACACCGAGTAATCTCGGACAACTTAATCCAGATATTTTAGTCAAATGCACTAACTTGTTTGAAGAACCAAATTACCCAAAAATCAGTTATCAGGATTAAAAGATCTGGTATCCGTCAAGTCATCTCAGGTTTAAGTGAGGTACGAAGAATGACCCCCTGCTTTTTCCCCTCTTCCAGCTTTCTCAGTCAGTTTATTGGCTGATAGAATACTGTTTAATACCCAAAACTCATTAACAGTGAGTCTTGTCTGGTACCCAGAACTGTATTAACAACTATGCTGACTAGTTGTTCATACTAGAAAAAAAACTGATATTTTCTGACAGGATCTGGAAACTTGCTGCAATGGGAACCAGATTTGGGCCCTTTAGTCAAAAGTCTGGCTACATGAGAGACTAGAGGTCCAATGTTTCATGTTTGTCATAGGTCAGTCTTTTATGTTCTACTGTTGTGATTTGATTGACAGGTATGTAGAAGTTGCAGTGGGAGTGCAGAGCGTCAGGTGCCATGTGTCTCATTGGACTGCCCTATACTCTACAAATTATCTCGCGTTAATCGGAATCTTTCCCGAGGACCATATCTTCGCCAGCTGCTGGAGCAGTTCTGATAGTCCAGCAGTCTGTCCACCTTTCATTTTACTCTGGTGCTAAACACTGTGCCATTCAGCACAATTTTGTGTATAATTGTTTTAAAAGGTGCTTTTTTTCTATGTGTCCTTGGAGAGTTTCCATCTTATACTGTTTGATTTTGTGTGGTACTGCAGTGCAGTGGGACTAACGAGGCCTTAAATACAGAAGAGGACGATGATTTTGATGCACTGTGTTTGAATTTGCTTGGTAGTTGTCTTTAGTGTTTATTAAATGGTTACATTTCTGCAGATTGACAGGTCAGACATTTACAGAATAATCCTCTCTAAACTGAACCCTGTGTGCTGTAGCAATCTGTAAATGAGGGAGATTCAGTTCTGACTACAATTCTTGTGGAGATAAGACTCCAGTGATCCCACTCTCCCCCCATTAGATCAGTCTGTTGTAAATAGACAGAATTTTGGATAATCATATTCAAGGTTTATGAACACTGATTAAAAAAAAAAAAATTCTAAAATTTTTTTCACATGTGTGTTCTGGGATGTTTTATGTCTGTCCATTCTCTACAGAGGCAAGTCGGAGGACAAGCAAGTCAATATCAGCCTTAACGTAGACTTCTGCAATATGTTTGATAAGTATATATTGTCTGTGTGCATAATTGTTCTTTTAAAATACTTTTCTAATGCTCTCTCTACTTTAAATCAGACATTGTTACCGACCTATGCTACCTACCAGAGCTACATAACATTTTTTACAGGTTTACAAAAACAGGTTAAGGTGCTTTGTTTTCTAAAGAACATTTGTGGGTGGAGATTTGATATTGATATAATAAAATTCAGTGTATTTAACAAATGTCTGTTTCAGTTAAAATGGGTCCTTTGGTTTTTACATCATTTTTGGGTATATACTGCAAGCTTTACAGATCGGTATTGGAAAGGGTTTAAACAATGTTTTTCATACTTGTTCAATGACCCATAAGCAATTATTGACACTAACAATTGACAGGCGAAAATAATGAAAATAAAGTCAGTTATAATTATAACTGGGGACAGTAATGCGACATTTCTACTGACTTTGAAAAACGCTAAAAAAGATGCCTAGTGTTCCTGCAGTTCAATGTGAGAGGACTTTGTTTCCTGAGTTTATTAAAAGTAAAAAACTAAATGTGCAAAAATGATTGTGGAAACTGGCAGCTGCTGTCTCTAATCACGGCCCTGTCCAAACCCTCACTGTAGAACATATTTGATATTTAAAGTCATGTTGAGCGAGACCTCAAACAAATAAGATCAAGTCATGATAAACAGGGCTACCCGATATGAGCAATGGAAACGACTGTCACTTGAGGCTTGCCAGGACAAAACCAATTTACACACAAATCACATCTGGTTAGTATAAGACTTTGAGGGGGAGGGGGGGGATCACAAAATTTGAACCTTGATGTTTATGTTGTTTAGTGTTAATATTTATTAATTAACAATCAAGTATGATTTGAAAAATCAAAATAAATATTTTGTAAACATAAAAGGTAAGGACTTTCAACAAAGACTTCAGCATCAAAATATTAATATAACTTTATACATTCATTCTGACCATACAATACAAAAAATGCTTGTCTTAATTTCACAGACTAGTGGACTAATTGTGCTGGTTACCATTGTACAAAATACTTTAATTCATGGTCAATTAATCAACAATAACAAATGAGAGAATATATATATATATATATATATATATCCTAATATACATTTGTGTCCAATAATTAGGCTGATCTGAAATAACAGGACAATTCTCAGTAAAATGTACAATATGCTAATTATACTTCTTTAGGATAATCCTGTACAAATGGTGAGCAGGAACAGGCTTGGTGTGGGTTATGTTGCTTTATGTAATGAACGTCAAACATGCAGTTGGCATTTAGAAAGTACCAAATCAACTGGCTAGTGTGATCTTTTCAACCAAGAAAAACAAAAGCAGCCACTTCTCAGTTCCTGGCTAAGAGCAAAAAGTCTGAGACTTCTTTGATGAAGTGCAACATATTAGTCTTTCTTCTCCCTGTTGAGGGACATTAACAGTTTGCGTCTGGGAGAGTCTGTGGAAAAGGGCAGTGTGTGAGACAGAGAGGCCAGGGTTGTGGGGTCTCTTGAGGGTGCCGGCAATGGGGTGGTCACTGATTGGGCAGCAAGTGCACTGGCTGCAACATCAGGTGGCACTGAGGCTTTAGAAGGAGAGCTCAATAGGCTGGCATCATCCATCTCGATCACCTCAAAGTCTGCATCATTCCAATGGTCAGCTTCACTTTCATTTTCCTGCTCCTCTTCTTCCTCCGCATTGTCCAGCAGTGCTTGCCGGTACTCACTATCATCAGCATCCTTTGTACGTTTCCTTGGTGTTTTCCGCAAGGTGGCGTCCCCTCCTGGTGACGCTAATTTGTACAAGACAGGGAACAAGATAGAAGTGAAGGTGGATGTGCCAAGTGCCATGTACATCAGCAATGGCTGATTCTGCACCTGCCCCAGTAAGAAGCCCAAGAGAGCTGGCAGAACCATTTCTCCAAGAGCTGCACCCACCACAAACACCGCAGCTGACCTCCCTGTCACAGTCGTGTACTGCTCAACCCATGAAATTCCACTAGGAAACGTGGTAGACATAGAGACACCATATATAGCAGTGCACGCCCAGAGCATTGGGGAATTTCGGCTAAAAAGACAAAGCAGGAGCGCGGAAACTGTGGTGCCCACTAGACTCAGTAGGATCAGAGTGCCTGGGCGCAGACAAGCTGCAAAGAATATGGCCAGACCACGACCAGCCGCGAACGTTCCCCAGAAGAGTGAATTCAGTCCTGCTGCCTGAACCGGGTTCATTCTGACATAGTCCTTGCTATAGGTAAATATAAAGGAACCGTATGCCACCTCACTTCCAACATAGAAAAAAAAGAACAAAGACAGCAGGAGTATAAGTATGTTATGGTGTTTGGAGAACAGCTGCTTTCCTGAAGGTGTTTTTGCCCTATTCGAATTGGGGGAACTGCAGAAGTACAGGAATAAAAAGATGAGCGACACCAATAAAACAACAGCACCAATCACGATGTAGGCCCACATGGATGTTAGAGTGGTGTTCTTTAGATGGGAAGCTGGAGAGATGGCATTGAAGATCTTGGAGGCATGGCCAGACATGTAAGTGGAGACATTGTCGGAACTGTGGCCAAAGAGCAGCTTGGCTATGATTGGAGAGGCAAAGGCTCCAGCAGCAAAGCTGAAGTGCAGAGCCTGCAGGTGAGGTCCAGCTTGTTCTCCCCATGTATTCAGTATGAGAACATTACCGCCTGTTGACAACCAGAAACTCAATTACCATAGCACCTATTAAGGTTTTTATATATATACACTGTATATCATACATATACATATATATATATATATATATATATATGAGCATTAATAATGCTTAATGCTACTAAAATTCATACTGTTAATTGCTTGATGCTAGAATTAAATTACAACACCTTGTCTACACTAGGCACTTATCTTACCTGTATCTAAAACTCCCATTGACACCCCCACACCGGACATCAAAACAGTGAGCAGCCAAGCCTTTTTACAGAAAGGAGTACCAGACATCCCAAATGCTGTGATTAACAATGAGAAGCCTGCAGATATAAATCAACTGTGAGTAACGAATCACTAATCATATTTTATAATATCACACATGTATCCAAAAAAATAAACACACAAATACAAAATAAAGGGGACAACATATTCCCAATATACTACTAACAAATGTCCTGTAACTGCCATGACTTTTAAAGTTTCTAAAACATTACAGACATGGCTCCTCTGAAAAGTCACTAAACTCATACAAGATAGCTTCTAGAAGAGTAACAGGGATGTTTTAGTGGGCAATTTAATCAGATTTTCTGTAGCGTTGTTTATTTTGCCCTTTCTTTCACTTTTTGATTAATCTAAAGAAATAATTTACCCCAAAATAAAGGTTAATCAGCTTAATCAGGTGATAGTGCAAGGACTGCAGATTCTCCAAACCTGCAACCTTTGCATTATAAGTCCATATGGTTAACTCTTTGACCAACTCCTATAATCAGTTATAACACACTTTCATAAGTAAATGATTTACAAAAGTTAAATATTAAATGGCTTTCAATTAACACAAAGTCCTTTTCTTTGTGGAGTCTATGGGCCTTACCCAAAAGCAGATGGGGATTCACACAGTCAAACAGGATCCCGCCTAACAGGGAACCTCCAATATATCCAGATGAACGACCCACAAATATATAGGATAAAGTACTGATGTTCTTGTTGACATTGACAGCCAGGTCTTCAAAGGTAGGGCCCAATACAGAGATGGCCATTCCCTAAAAATATACCATATAAACAAATACATAAATATAAAAATATACGATAAATGTGCACATTAAAAAAACAGAGGTACAGTCTTGACATTAGATGGTACTTCTATATTTATATACCACAGCATTTGCATGGTACTCCAAGATACTTCCAAAAATACTTTGATATTATAAATAATATGGTATTTAAAAAATAAATAAAAGGTACTTTTAAGCGAATGCACATAATCCGTTCATAAATCATGACTTAGACCTACAACTGATATAAATAGATCTACGAAGTTAGTTCTTGACATTTAAAGGTAAATAATGAGCTTCACAAGAAACATTTCTGCAATTTTTCTACTAATCCCACACTTTAAAATTGTGGTATGTGTAGTACTGCATTACTAAACTCAGCCTGAGCTAATATCAGCCACCCCACTGTGTGTGTGCATGGTGTTGTCTGCAAAGTACTATGCTAATACCACGGTAACGTTAATGAAGTACATTGCACATACTGTTACATACTCCATAGCACATATGGTAACCAAGCAGTATCATGTCAAAATATCATAGTATTACCCTGAATTCATATTACCCAGGCCAATATTAACCTGTCAGCCCTGTTACACCACTAACTTGTCAGACATCTTCCCTTATGCAAATAATCCTGTTTCACGAGGATACTGCAAGGCGACCAGGAAATTACGTTACCATAATGTTTTTTTTAGCATATTTTCAGTTGTCTCTTTTTGATACAGACACAGAACAATACCTACATAGATGAAATAACAAGGGATATGATTTTAGGCTGCAAAGCACAGGTTTTAGGTTTTCATATGAAGGTCTTCTGTTTTACGTTACAACAATTAAAACCGAACATGCATAGACCTACCAGACCGAGAAAAGACGCGCAAAGCGCTAGGCTGACTAGCCATCGCCCGCATGCCCCAGTATTACCAACTACATCAACCTGATCAGTCCCCGGCTTCAGTACCCCTTTGCCTCCCTTCAGAGCGCTTTTCAGTCCCTTCTTCGCGTCTTTACGTTTGTCGAAAAGCGTATCCTCTTCCTGCTCGTCGTGGTCAATGCCCTGTTCCATCTTAGCGAAACGAACGTGTTTTTTCTTCGGCGCTGCTTCAGCGGAGGGCATGGCAGCACGACTGACGCACTGTTGTGTACGGAAAAGCTGTCAACGCATTCGTTGGTTTATGGCCGACCTAAAATGACCCACATTTGACCCCTATTCTTGCCTATCAACGTATTTTATTTACGGTTTTATAAAAAACTGTAAAACCAAACAGCGTCGATCTTAAGTAAAGCAGAAATATCGCGTGAATATACACTGTAAACTCCAGGAACTAGTTAGAAAGCTTGAGGTTCAAAACTTCCGTATAGTAGGTGCGCATGCGCACAAACCAACAATTCTTCTGCATGCGGCTTGCAAACCCCCTTGCGTGCATATTGCCATCTCTCGCGCTGGAGTGTGGCTAGACTTGAAAACTCTCTTTCTCTCTAGGTCAGTTTTATTTATTTATTTATTGAATGCTTAGAAAACAACAACAGCAACCATTCTCATAACAATACAACAACAGACCAGGCTCCTTAACAAGTCTTTTAGTCCAGACTGAATGCCAAGCCCTTTGCTGCATAATGCTGCAAGCAAAGGTGTATTGATTACAGTTTTCTCAATTATTTGGCACAATTCTAAAATTAGTTTTTTGCTTTTTAACGATAAGTTAAAGTAAAGATGTCTGAACAATTAGTTTCTTGTTTACATCAGATTTGAGTTTCTTACTGATTCAAGCTAAAAAGAAATAGGCCTATGTGTTTTGGCACTTGTGCAAAGAGTAAGTACAATTGTCTACAGTTTGCACAGTAACTAAATGCACATGGCTTGTTGATCAAAACTGATGAGCTGATTCTCAGTGAAACTGTCAAACCCTTCACTACTTCTAAACATTCTTTCATTGTGTGAGCCATCACATGCAAAATTATCCATTCAATTATTAAAATCTGTCTGAT